TGGAAGCAAACAGAGCAGACATACTGGCAGGCCACGCCCTTCAGAGCCGTAGCTGAACCTGGCATTCAGCTGAAGGTTGAACAGCTGAATTTCAAGATTTATGTCCAAGTTTGTGAGAAAGACTTGCATGGAATTAATAGAACTCTATCTTTGTCTCTTGCTCTTAGGCAGTGAAGTCCAAGACTGGTCCAGGTGAGCATTTGAGGAACTCTCTCTGGCATACAGGTGACACTAATGATCAGGTACGTCTCCTGTGGAAAGATCCAAGGAACGTTGGCTGGAAGGATAAGGTATCATACCGCTGGTACCTGCAGCATCGCCCACAAGTCGGATACATCAGGTGAGCCATTCAAAATTTAGATGACTTCAAGTTTGAAGCCAAGCAAGCTGTTACTTGAGAAAGAAAAGTGTGTTAAAAATCAAAATGATTCAGTACAGATTTCTGCGTGTGTTTTTAGGGTTCGTTTCTATGAGGGATCAGAGCTGGTGGCAGATTCTGGGGTGACAATTGATACCACAATGAGAGGAGGAAGACTGGGCGTGTTCTGCTTCTCTCAAGAGAACATCATCTGGTCAAACTTGAAGTACCGCTGCAATGGTGAGAACACGAACACAAACAGTCATATATAATGTTACAAAATATTTTTGTTTCATATAAATAAATCTTTTTCCAGACACCATTCCAGAGGACTTCCAGGAGTTCAGTACACAACATGGCATGGACCCCCTGTAAATAATTCCCATAATGCTATGTTTATACCAGCACACCATTACACACAGTCCTATGTGTGTCTCTGAAAGTGTGAAACACATTTGTACACAATGTGTGTGTGTAGAATTGGGATACGTGTATACACAATGTGTATGCCATTTTTTTATTTTTTATTTTAAATCAACTTTTTTACTCCGTTTACTCTGGTCAAAAAAACTTCAGCAATTTAGCTACATCATATAACATTTAGATAAGAGACGAACAGTATTTCCTGTTATCAGTCAGTTAAAAGTTACAGTTATCAGCTACCTGCCTAGAATGCAGGTAGATTTGCATCAAGTCATTTTAAAGCGAACATTTACAAGAAAGGATGACACATATTACGGTAAAAAATAAGAAACCTTTTTGGAGTCTCTCATTCCTATTTGGCACCAATAAAAGAATCATTTCAAGACATGTGATGACATAAATGTATGACTGTACTTCCATCTGACTAAGATTTTTGTGATCTGTAGCTCAGAAACAGTCCTGTTTCAAAATCTAGTTTGCTGCCTAACGAGCTGTTTTGTAAGGTAGCATCCCAAATGAAATGAAACCCTATAAATTATCTGAATTTGGGAGACTTGATTCACAATTGGCAAATAAATGAAGTATTGTTGTATTTAAAGTCTACATCTCTCAACTTCCCTTTAGTTTAGCCATATTTGATTAGAACAGCAATGCATTCTGATATTATGGTACTGTATATTTGAAAGATACATGTGATGCTACCTTAGAATTTGGCTAAAAATGATCTTAATTATGCTGGCTTCCTTTTGAAATATGAGAAACGCACTTATGACCACTGCTCTGTTGTCTCCTCTGAGGCTGGGACTCTAAACAGTGTTCTGTGCTCGTCTCTGCAGCCAAAGACAGAACAGTTATTATGTTTTGCTCAAACTTTCGCCATGGCATTAGAGCTAGTACACCGTTGTCGCTTGCGAAAACACAATAATGGCGCCGTTGGTGTAAATTTACAGATTAGGTAATATTATAATGAGATCCCTTTGCCATGTCACCAAAGGAGCGAAATCAGACGCGCTTGTTTTCTCAGAGGCTTGCTGAAAAATGCTTCCCAAAACAAAGTTACTGGGTTAATCTTTTTCACGTTTCCTTGGTTGGTAGATGCACCGGGGACTTGATTATAGCACTTAAAACCTGGAAAAGTCAGATTTTCATGATATGTCACCTTTAAAGTGTTGTTTTGGCAGGCAGTTCAGTAGGGTTTGGGCCAGGGCTCATGTTTGATGGGCATGTAAGTTAGTTTGTTCACACGAGAGGCTGTTTGCTCTGCAGCATTACTGCCAGAGTTAGTTAACAGCAAGAGTAAAGAGTCTTCTCCTGCTGTGTTTGCTCTTAGCTCGTGCTAACCTCAGCAGTTCGTGCCTCTGTTCACATTCCTTCTGTATGTGGAAGCTGTTTTATTAGAGTGTTTAAAGGGGGGAAAACTGTTCAGAACATTTGCAAAACATGGTCAGCAGATGGCAGTATGTCCTTTACATTTACTCACTATTGCTGCGAGCTATTGTTAGAACAGTCAGTTCTCTTTACCATGTTCTCCCTTCTCCGCCTTACCTCATGTCTCTGTTTGCCATCTGAATATTAATGTTTTTCAGACAATCATTTGGTCTGTTAACAAATCGTCGTTAATTAACAAAGCAGTTGATTATGAAAATAGTTACACAACCAAATGAGTGTGACTTGAGAGATGGATCTGAAGTGAGAGGTGCTGTCAAATGCCACTTTACTCATTATGAATCACCCCGTAACCTTTACTGGGAGAGGCTGAGGGAGAAAGAGTGAGCACAGAAGGAGAAGGTGGTGTAGGAAGAGCCGTACCTGTGAATATCACTCCCCTGCAACACACAGCTTATCCTATAACACATACACATATGATAAAATGGGGGAAAGGTTAGAAAGACTGTGTGTAGGATGGTAAATATTTTCCAAAAACTATATATGTGGTTTCTTTTACTATTTCACAAGTAAAAAGGTACTGTAGTGGTATCATAGTACTGTGATTGTATTATTATGTTACATATTACAATATTCATACCATATTGTCCTGTCACTCTAAAGTACTTAAAATAATATCATGGTATTACCATAGTCGTGTCCAAAGCATATGTTCAAATACCATGGATTTTGTTTTGTTATCTAGTTACTAGTTTTACAAGTGTTTATACTTAGGTTAGGTTTTTTCCCCAAACATGTAACTATTTTACAAACATAAATGACACTTAAAATTTTGTATCTGATTGAAAAGAGGTGTCCTATTATGTTTCTAAGTGATCAGATGTATAATTCTCACCTACAGGATAATAAAACAGGTTAAAATCTCATAGACAAGACCAAAAAAATCATGGAAACTTTGGGGATGGGCTCTTTTGATTTGAGACAATAGACAACCACCCCAACAACCGCCTAGCAACAAGCTAAAACAGTCACAATTTCTTAGGGAAATGTTAAAATGCACCATTTGATAAGCTAATGTGTTTTATTCTGAAGGTGGCTGAAGAACCCTTCATCAGTTAAAATAGAGGAAACAATTAATTCACTGGACATCCCTCAATCGCTCGGACCTTGTAATATAGATGGTTTCTAATTTAAACAGAACTAATTTAGGAGCCCTTTAGTCGACGCTAATAACGGTCACTTAAAATGAGCGCCAATAACAGACCTCGGCACAATGAGGGCGCGAAAATTACGCGGCACAGTTGGGCATCCGCTGGTCACGAGCCGAGAGTTATTATTAAAAGCACGAGATCACGACTTCTTACGAGCCCCTGCTGAGCTTTACTCCGCAGAAGCACAATGTTCCCAGAACGTCCTCGACACTGCGCTAGCACAATGTTCCCTCACAAACACTTTCACGGCGAGACACTCACACACCTGATCTCACATTCATCTCTCGAGACACAACGGGAATGTCCGGCCGGTCGATAATGACAGATTTCGAGGTCTCATTCACGCCACTCGGCTCGGTTTTCCTGAGCTCCCTCTCTCTATTTTTTCCCAAAATAGACGAAATCTGGCTTAGAGATTCTCTGACGTTTCTGACAGGGACAACTACACCAAATTTGTCCAGTTTTCCGGTACCAGCGGGAATCCTGAAGCATCTTTCGTCTGTGATTGGCTGAACGCGCAACGTCTGAGGAAATATGGCCATTTATGTACTGAGAAATGCGCGGCAATTCACCTGCACGTACGTTGCGTAATGCGACATTTCCCAAGGCTCCGCTTTAATGCATTAGCGGTCAGTTAACGCCGAGGACAGTCTGTGAATGCGCAAAGACGTTTTATTCCCGTGGAGATGGGAACATTGAACTGTCACCGTGACGAGCGTAAAGAACTACTGGTACACAAGCCACCAGACTTGACAATCACATGTTAACTGCCTGTAATTGCATATGTGTGGGTGAAGCGGTACTGGATGTACTGTTTCATCTGTTTCAATTGCACTTTGACACAAAGGGACACTGAAGTGTGTGCGTGTGTAGCAAAATTCTAATAAGACTTTATTGCTTGCTCAAAGCATCAGACATGATTTGACATTTTATAATCAAACTGACATTCAAGCATAGATCTTCCCACAGATGCCCAAGGTTTTCAACCAGCGGACAATATAAAAGATGTATAAAATGAAGGGCAGTAGTCACCATTGACAATTTGTAACTTTTTAATTTATAATCCATTTATATGTAGGCAATGTAGCCTATATAATTTAAAAAATGCTAATTTGGGCTATAAACGGAACAACTCCGTCAGGCAGTGATTTTAATTTTATTTATTTATTTTTGAAAGCTCTTCACCCCAAATGGCAATGATTATTGTCTGAGTTTCGTGGTTGCTTCGAAGTTAAAAATAGAATACAAAAATTTAAAGTTATGCACGACTCAGGTGTAAAGTGCTTTTGACACCCTTGTCTTCTGCTATACTTATTGAAAAAAAAAAAATATATATATATATATATATGCATATTTTCCGTGTTCATCTGCTGTCAATCTCGCCTTTTTATTTGCATGCTTTTTTGTGTTCATGTACCACCATTCTTTGCGAAAATCTATTGTCATTCACAACTTCCAATCCAAAAATCTGGCCGACAAAGCAAAAGAACAGTCTGTAACAGGAGACCAATTTAGGATGGAAGGATGAGGGAGGGAGGGATAAGACTCATTGTGAATTCCGGAAACGCACCTCCACATGGAGAGGTGGGCTGCCACATCCGCGTGATGCTCATCTCGGTCCGCAGCGGCATCGAGCGTGGATTGGTGGGCACGCGGTATTCCCTCTCGTGTGCTTGGAGAATGGGCGTGCTCGGGGAAGCTCGGTCATGCAGCGTGGGCGCAGTGTGTAGAACACGGGTATAAAAGCTCGAGCAGAGCGGCGGGAGATGCAGCAGACAGCAGCTCAAGCAACTCAAGCAGCTCACGCGCTCGGCTCACACTCACCGGCAGCAGCAGCAGCATCATGGTTCTCATCTGGACTCAGTTCGGCGTCAAACACAAGAATGTCAAGTGCAAAGTGCGAGTGATCCACGGAGAGGAGGGATTGGCCTCAGAGGTGAGATGCTGCACATATCATTTAAATCACATGCTAAAATCTAGATGCACGAATTTTATCCACTATATAATATAAACTCACAGACTTTGAGTGTTTATTATATATTGGACAATATAGAGGTATATATTAAATTCTTATATGTTCAGTGTATAAATCTATATATGCATTTTACATAGTGGACAATAGCCTATAGAGGTACATATATATTTGTAAATTGTTATATATTTCCCTTTGTATTTTCCTCTATATAATATATACCCTAAGACTTAGAGTATATTATATAATTGAGAATATAGAGGTGTATATATACACCTCTATATTCCCCACTATATAAAATGCATATATAGATTTATATATTGGAGAATATAGAGGATGTGATTTTAGATTTATATTTTATATTTATATACCTCTGTATTCTCCACTCTATAATAAACACTCAAAGTTTGTTATATAATGAGGAATATAGATGTATATAATAATATAATATACATCCGAAGACGAAGAGAATTTGGAGGCATATAAAAAATCTGTGCATATATACCCCATTCACAAACTTTTATAGAGTAGAGAATTTTTTTGAGTGATTCACTTTGAGTGAAAATACAATATACTTGTATAAATTATATAAGTAATAATTTATAAATAATAATGTCATGACTTATTTTATTACTTGTACTTTATAATTTTATATTACATTATTTTGGATTCAATGTTTATGCCATTATTTTATAAGAATTGGTCACTGACAAATTAATCTACTCTGAATATTATGGCAACTCCCTTCATGACTATGGTACTTGCATCTCTGCCTGAACCAAGAACATTCTTTTTATTTGGGATCACCCTGTGTAGGTGAACCAAGGAGAACTAGAAATGATTGTACTCTAAACTCTTGCCATCTGTGTGTGTGTATGTGTGTAGGAAGTGCGTGAAGAACCCGAGGTGTCTAGTCCCCCGTCCTCACCAGAGTGTGTGGATTACTACTCTGTGCTCGGCGTGTCAAGTGACTCTAATGAGGAGGAGATCAGACGGGCGTACAAGCGTCTGGCGCTCCGTTACCACCCAGACAAGAACCCAGACGCAGACGCCGAGGACAAATTTAAACAGATTGCACAAGCCTACGATGTTCTGACAGACCCAGAGAAACGCAGCATCTATGATCAACAAGGTGAGAATAAAGTGCAAGCACAAACATATTTAATATGCATGCACTTGCATTGCATGCACCTACAAACACACTCATTTCAAATGAACACTGAGTTCAGTGGGTTCCTACAACCCCATTTGAACTCATTCACACACTTGCAGTGCTGGGTGCAAATAGCTGCAAACATGATCAATTATTTATCCATACTTTATTAACCAGCAAATGAGCCCTTTTAGCTTTTGCAAAACCAAAGACATGCATGCTAATACAATCTCTTTAATCTTCAAGGTTTGACCAAAGGGGGTGTGGCTCCAGCTGGAAACAAAAGTGACCCCTCTCACAGCTCCTCGAAAGCTGACGCCCACTCCTGGCACATGTTCTTCAACTTCGACCTCGACTCCGATGATGACCTGTTTAACCCCTTCCTGCGGAACCCCCTGCCCCACCTCAGCCGTAACCATGGAAACAAGGGTGGGCTCAAGCCATCGGGCGTGGCCGAAGTTCACGAGCTCCTCGTGTCACTGGAGGACATTTTGATGGGCGTGACGAAGCGTGTGAAAGTGACACGCCTCCGGCAGACGGACAAACACGCGTTGAGACCGGAAGAGCGCGTGTTCGACGTGGAGGTGAAGAAGGGATGGAAGGAGGGCACTAGGATCACCTTCCCCAAGGAGGGCCATCAGATGCTCGGCCACGCCCCAAACGACCTGGCCTTTGTTATTAAGGAAAAGAAGCACACCCATTTCAGACGAGACGGCTCGCATATTGTGTACACCACCACCATCACGCTGCGAGAGGTGAGATGTGTACATGTGTACGTGTGTATGTGTGCATGGCGGTACGAAATGTTCCCTCGCAGTCGCCGATACTCAATAAGCCTCTGCAGAGAGCTGCATCTAAATTTAGCATCTCTCCCCCGCAGCCTCAGAGCACACACTCTCCCTCCCATCTCGCACACCACCTCCTCAGCTCTCAGCATCGTCTCACACACAATCTGTCATTCGCTCCTCTCTAGCAGTGGATCCTATTTTGCCTATACGCCCTCATGTATCTGTTTTCTAAGAAAACTATGAATAGACCCATAATATCTACAGAGCAGGGTGACAAATATAATGGTGTCAATTAGAATCAAATTAGCACTTATTTTACAAAATATTTACTCAAAAAAACAGAAATGGTAAATTATTTTGGACAGATTTTGGAACTGACACTGATTATTGGTCAAATAATTGGCCTGGCTGAAATATCAGTAAATATTCAGTCCATATTTGGCCATTTTAAGATTATCGGCACTGGTAACTATACCTGATTGCCCAAATAATGCTGATATATTCATAAAATTACAATGAAATTAACACTTTGTACAATAAAAGAACAGAAATTGTTAATAATCTGCTGACAGATTTTGGAACTTCTGTTAACTAGCCAAACAGAAATCAATCATTTGATGCCGATAATCTTAAAATGGCCAATTATTAGGCAATTAGTTGGCCTATTTTGCCATTTTGAAATTATTGGCACTAATTACTGCACCTGCTTGGCTGATAAACTTAAACTTGCTAATTATTGGTTGATTAATTGGCCTGGCTGAAATATCAGGAAATATTCAGTCCATATTTGGTCATTTTAAGATTATCGGTACTGATAAGTGTGCCTGATTGGCCAATATATTGCAGAAAAATTCATAAGACAGCAAACTAGAATTAAAAAATATTTTATACAATATTTATTCCAAAATATCAAAAAAATAGCTTATTATCATTGAAAAGTCTGTTGATGCTTTTGAAACAGTTGTTAATCAGCCAATTATTGGCCAAATAATGTTTTGCCATTTTGAGATTATTGGCCGAATAAGTGATCATTAAATTGACCATCCTGCTCTCTAAACATCAGATTTGGCATCGACTATTAAAAACAAACCTTTATTCTTTCATTCTTTCCAGCTCATTTCCATTTTTACTTTCCATACCAAACTTCTCGCCCCCGTTCGCTCTCTCCCTCTCTCATTTTCCACATCCACTTCATCTTTCTCTTCCCACGCATACCCTCCCGTCCCCCACAGACTGGAGCATCATTGAGAAATGAGGGCGATTAGCGGCTCTTTTCTGCTGTTGCGTAACTGTAATGTTCAATCTGTCTGGCCTATATTCCGCCCGCGTTCATACTCGCATTATATAAAAGCATCATATATAGACAAGTGGATTAGACCTCATAACATATGCCGGAGGGGCATTATAGCTCTTATGCTGCCAAAACACTGCAGCTTGTGATATAACAGATTGTATCTCAAGACAAAGAGAGCTACTGAGGATCGATACAGACCTTTCAAAGTTCAAACTTCATCAAAGATGATCTTGTGACACAAAGTTTAACGGTTTTCCTTCTTTGTGTTTTTCTCCAGGCTCTATGTGGGTGTACGGTTAACATCCCTACGCTTGACGGACAGATGAAGCCCCTCCCATGCAATGATGTCATCAAGCCCGGCTCAATGAGAAGGCTAATAGGGGAGGGGCTTCCCCGTGTGAAGAACCCCGCCCAGCGTGGAGACCTGCTGGTCGAATTTCAAGTCGTTTTCCCTGATCGCATTCCCCCGAGCAGCAAAGAAATCATCAAACACAGCTTGGGACAGTGTTAACTAAAGAAAACATGCTCATTTTGGTGACGGATTTAACGTCAGCTGTTTGTCTCTGTGAGGCACACACACTCTGCGTTGATGGTGCTACTCTGAAGTGTTAGCATACTTCTTTAACCATGACGACCTTGTACTCACGTACAGAACTGTCAGTGATTTAGTCTCTATGAGAGATCCCTGTGTCATGTTCCAATGAATTATTTGTAAAAATTATATCGAGAAAATGTGAATTTCAGATATGACCTGGCATGTATGATGAACGCATGTTTTGTAAGCAGAAATAAAGTTTTGTTAATGAAATAACTGGAATTTGGTGTTGCGGTCTTTAATGTGTTGAGCACTTAAGCACTTAAATATGCCCTCATTTGCATATTCAAACATAACATTTCAGACAACTTGCAATACAAAATTTAATGTACTGTGATTAATCAACTGCGGAAGTATGATGGTCTCAATTAGTTAACATTTTTACCCTAATCACCTTTGGTGTCTTGCCTCAAAAATACCGTTCAAAGAGATAAAAGTTTAATAAAGTTGATCTTTATGTATTCATAATTTGAGATGTTCATATTCCACACCAGAAATGGTGGAATTTTTGCACTGTGGATTTGAATACTAATAAACACAAAAGCTATATGAGGCCATGGTGCGGTTGATTAAAACTCAGTAGCTGCCATAAAGTTTTAGCTTTTAAATATTTAATCAGCATGCTTTTAATAGTTTCAAAGCCTGCTGTATATTCCCTATTGCTTTCTGAAGATGAAAATAGTAACTTTACTTGTATAGCACAAAGTGCTCCATAGGAAAAACTAATCAAGAACACATCCAAGAGTTGTTCATATACATAAAAAGATCAAATCTGTTGGAAATGCCCCAGTGCACAAAGTGTGGTCTACAAAGAAATGTGCATAGGCCAAACTTTTGGGATACACTGAAACAATAAACCAGACTCCATCACAAAAACATAAGTACCTGATCTCAGTGATGTTTATGTCTGAACGAGAGCAAATCCCTGCAGTCCCAGAAGTCTGCAAAGCAGCAAAGGGAGAACAAAGTCCATATTAAAGCAAATTATTTCGAATTTAAAGGAATAATTCACCCAAAAATTAAAATTTGCTGAAAATAAACTCACTCTCAGGCCATCCAAGATGTAGATGAGTTTTTTTCTTCATCAGAACAGATTTGGAGAAATGTAGAATTACATCACTGTCTCAGCAATGGATGCTCTGCAGTGAATGGGTGCCGTCAGAACGAGAGTCCAAACAGCTGATAAAAACATCACAATAATCCACAAGTAATCCACAGCACTCCAGTCCATCAGTTAATAGGCTTGTGAAGCGAAGAAAAGAAAAGAAAAGGCATGATTCATATAATTTTCTTCTCAAATAGTTATTCCCATTTGTGTGCAAGTGATCTTTTTCCAAGGAAGGTCCTCCACAGTTGAAATACAGTCAGAAAATGTGCAAAGTTGTACCTTTAGGGTTACAATATACTCCTAAAAGGTCTGTATTAGTCCTTTAAAGTAGTAATACGTATCCTTTTTGTGAACCTGTGAACCTTTTTGGGTAAATAAGGTATAAAGATGACAAGCTATTTGAGGGTACTGCCTCAAGCAGTTTTACCCCTAATGGTACAATATTTGCATATTTTTCTAAGAGTACTGTATATTTGATAGGACATATTTGGCAATGATTCTCTCAAGCTCAACAGACTGGTATTCACAGGAAATGTGCAAATATATGAACTGTCTGAGTGAGAAGAACATTGTCTCGTGTCAGTCATAGCCGCGTTTCGTGGCCCGTGAATCATACTCAGTTTAAAATGACACTCACACTTACTCAGGGTCTGAATGGCTGTTTTTAGCAGAGTGTGAACCTAGTTATTTCTTAGAAAAACTAAAAAAAGCCAATTCTATATCTGAAGTGTAACTTGGGAAATCCACCAATATGCAGTTGTTGTTTTTTTATTAGCTACATACTATGTAGAAAATTTTAAATTTTTCCTTTTTCTAACTTCAAAAGAGGCAACTCATGACATTTCACAACATGTACAGCGACTGTGTATTTGTGCTTCCAGCATAAGTGGTATGTTCCCTGTGGAAGCTTTACTCATTTCTAAACTGCTACTCATTTCTAAACTTCAAAGCCGCCCACAAAATGAATGGACGAAATTATAAGTACTTAAGGGACCATCTAAAGTGCCTACGGGAATCAAGGTTAGGTTAGCATTTTAAATATGTCTTTGATGGCTTCAAAGTAATAACATGTACAGGGCTTGTGATGGCACAACAACAAACGAAAAAGGCAAATAAGACTACCATCTTAAACTAGTCTACACTGCCCTCTCTCGGCCATATTAATTAATTGCATGGTGAGAACTCTTCAGTGGAATCGCCTATAAAAATGTACTATAATTAAAGAATATTGAGATATCAGTGTTATTTTGGTGTTATTTATAGACCTATACTAATATATTGCTTAGTCATATTTTGAATAAATTTTTTTCATTTTAGTTAAGTAGCTTTTGACAATTTTATTATTAGCCTATTATTATTTTTTATATTTCGACTTAGCTTTATTTCATTTAGGCTAGTTAGTTGAGGTAACTAAATTTCTTTGAAGTTTTTTTTAGTTGACGTTTTTCACCTAATTTTAATATTTTATTTCAGCTTTATTTCAGCTTCTATTTCAACTATCAACAAACGTTTCCCTCAGAAAAAATGGTTAACATCCAGGCAATGAATTACTGTACCTTTTCACTTAGGCTACAATAATTTGGAAACAAAAAGTTGTAAGCAAAAACATGTAAATACCAAGACACGCTGGTAGGCAATATAACATTTTATTAGGCTATTTTAAAGTGTCACCAATTAATTATTTCCTTAGCATTCTCTGAACTTTCCTGGTGATTTTGCTTTGTTTCCAGTCAGATATCGGAACCTCGAGCGCTTGATTTCACCTCAGCTGAAACTCTTCAAAAACGTGCGCACGACTTCCCGCATAAGTGCTTTTACATATTTAACGTCATTACCGTGTTATTTTGAGGGCTCGCGAACAAAATAGACGTCTTAACACACCAAAGACGTTCTCATCTATGAGGTAAGATTGCAAAGTTGTTGTAAACTGTCGGTGAAAAGCCAAAGCTCTTGACGCACTCAAGGCGGAATTAATTGATGTCAATGGGGCGCACCTGCTGTCGGCTGTCAGTTTTAGTCATTTTATTGATATTATTTTACATAAAAACAACAATCAGAGGTACAATTAAGTAAGCATCAAAATCATATTGTTTTATCCTGATTTGTGATGAAATGTCGCAGCTGGGATCGGCTGTGCCCTCATCAAACTTACATGAGGGCCTCCCGGTGTCCAGTTTGGCCCTGCTGATCCTGGTGCTCATTCCCTGCGTCCTTCTGCTCCTGCTGCTCAACTGCCTGGTTGTGGGATACAAGCTGTTCCGCATGACCCTGAGGAAGAGAGACCGCTCCGGTTCGGAAATCTCGCTCATGCACTCGTCGTTTTCCACCCGCCAGAGAATCACCCGCTTCTCTGATGAGCCTCTGTTCGCTCCAAACAGAAAGACCAGCTACGTCTCGGTCTCGGAGCCGATGCTGGCGCCTCCCATCACCTCGTCCCTGACCTCCTCAGCGGAGAGAAGGGCCACCGGGCAGCGCGCCAGGTTTCTACGCCCGGATGGGGCCACTTACGCCGGGTCCGAGTCACTGCGCGTGCCAAACTGGAGGACGAGCGCCCCGGTTCTGCTGCAGTCCAGTGATTCGGACACGGAGCGGGTCAACACGGTGCCCCCGAACTCACCAGCACTGCATGTGACTCCAAATGGGGTAGGGTCAAAAACACTAAATCACCAAAACACAAGATTTAATGAAATATTAAATAATCGAAAATCTCTTTTACGAATTTGAATATTAATGGAAGATGTTACGGTTTTTGGTGGTTATACTTATAGGCCTAATGGTAGGCTATCATATTTTAATACCATGGCTCGTAGAAATGGTAATATAAAACTTTTAGTAATTTGCCATTTTCATATAGGAAGGTATTTATAACGTACATAAAGCATTGCCGGACCATATTAAAAAGTGCATTTTTGTTTTAATACCATAGTTCTTTGAAATGGTAATATAAAACTATGATAATTTGATTGATATTCTCATATAGTGGGTATTTATATGTCACTGTATGTCCAAAAAGCAAATATTGGAGTATTTTCATAGCACTGTAATGTCCACAAAGCATGGTATTACCATAGTAACAGATCCAAAACACCATAGATTTTGATTTATATATTATGGGAAATTTACTACATGCAGTGTTTATAGAGTAAAACATTGGTGGCAATGGTCAGTGCTTGGGAAAACCACTTACAAATTACTGATTCCAAATGACATGACAATAATTGTGGTTAGTAACGTAATCCATTACATTACACATTTTATGTAAATGGACTACTTATTAATTACTTTTAGATTACGTGTGACCTAGCTCGTTTATCACATTGATTTAAATAGGATAATATTGTACCATATTGATACAAATATGCAAAGAATATTTCAAAAATATATTCCATTCGTTGTTATTAACAACATTAAGTGCATTAAACATTGTCGAGGTTTCTTAAACTGGGGTTCTTGACGCATTTTAATGTGTTTGAAAGACAAAGACTTCCAAAGATGAAGACTTGTGTGTGTGTATATGTAATCAATAAAAAAAAGTTACTGTAGTCTGATTACGAGTATTTTAAAATGTCAATTTTGGAATCTGATTACATTATCCAGATTATATGTAATCAGTTACTACCCAGCACTGGCAGTGGTCTCCACGATCAACTTCTCACAAAGCTTTTTGGGAAACGCAGCCCAGTTTATTAGCTTTAGTCTGGTGGCTGACATGGAAAACGATTACTTTCTGTAGTTTTGGGTCCAACTGAAATGCGAGGTAAAACTTGCCCATGAGTAATTTAACCGTTTAACTGCACTGGTTACAGTTCTCAAAGCCGGTGACTTACATGCGTAGAAGCAGCACCATGGAGCTGGAGAGCGCTCCTCTGGATAAGATCCATGTGGAATGTGAGTCCGCCAGCATCATCCCGCCGGAGAACTCCTGCTATGTGGTATCGTCAAGCCCCTCGGCTGGGGGTTCTGGACTGGACACTGACTTTGGAGCCAGTGCAGGTTAGTTTTGTGATCTCATTCACTGAACTGAGGAGACTTCAAAAGCTCAAGCCTAAACTACATATACACTACAAATAGAAAACTTTGGATTTGGAGTCTGTCCATTCTTTGAATTCTCCTAACTGTTCATTTAGGTGTATCTCTGCGTATCCTTTCTATGGACAGTGATGGTTTCCCGGGTTCTGCCTGGGCGTCCGCTCTAGAATGGGATTACTACGACCCAAGTTACGTCACTCAGAACCACGTCCCGAAGCACAGACCTCACGCACCCCCCATCACTACCAAACAGTACTGGGTCTAGAGCCTGAACAAGAACTTCAGAACAAGACTCAATTCAGCCATTCTTATTCTAGAACTTCAGTTGAGCTGAGTCTAGATTTCTGTCTGGGTTCAGTGCACTCAAAAAATGTTCACTTGCTGTTTTAACTGCAACACATCACATCTTGTCAAATCACACACAAAAAAAAAAAAGTTCATGATCACAGCTTACTTCCGCAGCAACTCCAAACAGGTTTGTTCGGTTTAGAAAAATGTGTTTATAGAATCACTCTACTGTTGCTCTCACTTTATATCACTTTGTTCGACACTTTCGATTTGTCACTTTTTGTATGTTTGCACGTGTTTCTCAGCATGGAGTTACTGAGGTCTTCAGAAGAGGCTGTTTTGAGTCCTTCACAATTTTGACACCCTACACATTCTTGTATTTGTAAACAATTTCGCATTTCGATTGCGCCTGAATTGAATAAAGTTTTTAAAAACAGGGTGTCATTTTATTGCTGTGGACGTCTAATGCAAATATATAACCTTAATAAACAATAGCGTTTCCTAGCAAGATCAGTTTTCCTATATTCATTGGAATTTATACTAATATTAAAGTCTCAAATCTGGTGATCAAAACCTTCATAAAACCATGCAAGCTGAAAAAAAAAAAATAGTAAAAACTAATTTTATATTAATCTTCACATAAATCAGTTCTCTTCATAACAGCCTTTGGTTTGTATTGATATTAAAAGGTAACTTGTTTTCAAATGGTTTGAGAAGTACTGAGTGTGTTAGTGAAACAAAAGGATGCATTCAGACAGACATTTCAAACACCACTTTTTTATTGGAAAGAGTTTATGAGGAGCTGGACGCAGCCACTGCTGCCCGACGGGGCTTGGGCACGGTTCCCTCACGGAATCCATTTCTGAAATACACACCAAAAAAAAAAAACATACTTGAGTCAACATAACATCACAAATAATAGCCCTAGAGATAATTCACAGGCTCATAGCATGACTGCAAGGGTCTCAAATCTATCGATCAAGTCCCTTCCAACAGTAGTTTCAAAAAACCCAACTGGTCTGAAGAATAAAAACTGAACAGAAAACAGATCCTAACAGGTACCTATCTGAGCGTATGGGTCAGGCTTACCTCAGTATAAAATTGTTATCACTGGACAGTCATTTGTTCAGACATTTATTTTTGAACATCATTGGTAAGCCACTGTATAGATGCTAATTTAACCTGACTACAGCATCTCAGGTTTTAGGCAAGTATCAAATCACAGGATGAACAGGAAGATCTCCATCAACGACAATACACTGTGTCAATGTCCGATAACAAAAAAGGGAAAAAAAATAAAATAAATAATAATCTCTCATAAGTTCGAAAATGCCTCAAGAAAACACTAAACTGAAAGATTAAAAGCATGAAAGTCTGAGCAGACCACTGCATGCCCGTTTCCTCACCTGAACCTGCGGAAAACAACCTTCATGTGTCTCATGCGGCCGGTTCCTGTGGTGCTGCGTCTCTTGGCCTTAACGCTCCAGTTGTCTGCAAACAAAAACAAGTATATTTTAAAACGCATGAAAATAAAATGCATTCCTCTAGCCACCCATAAACATCTCAGGCTTACCTCAGTTCAAACCTGTTATCACTGGACAGTCATTTGTTCAGACATTTATTTTTGGACATCACTGGTAAGCTTTGATATGCCAGACAGAACACATGCATTTTTGCAGTTCGCTCTCATTTTTTAATAAATTGTGTGCAAGTTTAAAAGAATAGCTCACCCAAAAAACAAAAACGGCGTTTTTATTTTAAACCATCATAACTGGTCAGAGTCCATAATCCATAGTAACACTTCCTCGAGTGAAAAAGTCCATTCCCGGTCATCCTCTCACATCAAAATTCACTGGCATATCTGTTTAGAGCGGTTCTGGATTGCTTCCGCTTATAAGAGGTGCTTGATCTGTGCAGATTTCTCCCCTGATTCAGACGAGACACTTTTTCACTGGAGAAAGCACTATTATGTAGAGGTCGACCGATAGTGGATTTTGCCGATACCGATAGCTAGGTTGGACCACACTGGTCGATACCGATTAATTAACCGATAGTTTTTAAAATGGATACTGAACAAAAACTAAAATAATGCTTTATTAAAAAAACAGTACTGAACCATACTAGTAGTAGTAGTAGTAATAATAATAATAATAAAAATGTTGAAATTAACACACTCTAACAAGGAACAATACTTTCATTAGACAGCTTTCATTAATCTTAATGTTACAAATGGACTCTTATTTTAAAGTGTTACCATTTCATTTCAACAGTCATGCTTAAAGATGCACATCTTTAAATATATACACAAAGGCCATAGCATTAAAATTATATACATATGGATATTGTATGTATACTCTCACACTTTAACTTCTTCTGTTCTTGAACACTTGATGATTATCTAATCAAAATAAAAGTGCAGCGCTGAGTCTAGGAGAACTCACCAGTATCACACACACTCCTGACG